TTGAACGGTGCGCAACTTTATGTGTCTAATAGCACAGTGTGCAATTGCAAGTCGTAATTGAAAGTTATATTAATGCAGATGTATTCTTCTTTAAAACACATTGACACGTTGAATGTCGGTCATCGATAACCACGGCGCCGTTGAAAGCGTCAGTCAACAGTGCTGATCGCGGTGCTACCAAACTTAAAAATGCATCAAACTCATAAAAAATAATATTTGTAATTTTATAAATATGATTAATATTGAAATAATAATCTAAAGTAACAAATGTACTAAACATAATAACTTTACATAATTCAATTTCGTTATATGTATAATTTTATATCGAGATGTAAATTTAATCGTGGAAATTTTACTCCGGCGTCGTTAAAGAGATAAGCGAATTAGCTCGGCATTCAACGTGTTAATTGACGTTTTATGAAAGATCGCTGCTGTGATCGATCATTTCCCGTCCCAAATAGTTCCAGAAGAACAAGTACCAAAAAATTCAGAACAAACAGAAGAGATATTATTTTCTGATATTCGGTTATGATCACATCGAGTAAACTGCGATCACATAATCGATTATCAGTTAACTTTAGGAGGAATATAGATTTTGCACCGATGCAACATGCAACGATATAATGTACATACATACGCAGGTATCATGTCTATCATGTCTCTGACTAATTGTAAAATATATTACGATGAGAGTAATAATATACACAACTCTCTTCACTTTTTCGACACAAATTTTCGTGTTCATGTTCTGTCGTTAGAATTACCTTCTTTGTAACAACAAAGAAACTTATCTTTATTGTGTTATTGTTAATGCGTAACGGAAAACGCGGTAATAATTATACTTTATTAAAGGAAAGTAAAAAGAAATGTTATAATTATAATAAAATAAATCGAAAAGTTAAATAATACTATACATTGTATCTCTGTGTTCATTTTACAAACACCTTAAAGCAGGATAATTGCATTTCTGCATTTTATTATAATTTTTTTGTAAAACGTATACTATAAATGTATACTAGAACTAGTTGGATCGTGGAATTTTGAGCTTTGATGCTTCTATTTTATGCGGATGATTAAAACACAGAAAAAATCACCGCAAAATATGAAAATGACGTGTTTGTAAGCTAAAATATAAATTATATTATAGCAAATAATATAAAGCAAACATGTTCGGTAAGGAGTTTTTATTAGTGCGGAAATTTTACCGTGGCGAATCCTTCTAATGACGGAACAAACAAGCCGCCAATGATGAGTGTGCAATGTCGCATACTTCTTTGCATCACAAGCAGCAATAGCTTTTGCACTTTCAACGGAGCTATGTACCATTGCACGTCGTATCTAAAATATTGTTATCAGAGAATTATAACTAAAAGTTTCGATAACGTTAAAGATTTATTTTTCTTTAACCCTTTATTTATCGAATGATATAACCCATTCATTTTCCTTGCATATAACATCCTGATATACGTATAAGTAAAATAAATAGACCTATAGATAACAAAGGAACTTCTAGGATTGTAATCAATTAAAGATAAATGAATGCAATACTCACATTCTGTGAAAAACATCACTGCTATGATCGATCACTTTCTGTCCTAAGTAGTTATACAAAAACATGTACCAAAAATGGCCGAGGATATACATAAAACTAATGATCAGCTCGGAATATTCCTTGGATGCTATCAATCGAGAAAACTGTAGCACGTAAATAAAACTAATTTGTTTTCGAAAGAGAGAGAAATAGTGTAACAGTTGTATTTACGGATACGATACAGATATAAACAGATATCATGTCAGTAGATAATACTTCCGGTCAAAATATGTTAATTATTGTATGACATGATATGTACATTAATAATTACTCACGCGATAAAGATTAATGCTCAGAGATAGTACCATTAAGGGCAACAGTAATGAATAGGTCCAGTCATGAAATCTTTTCAACATTTTGATAAACCTTAAATAACAAATCTTTAATACGCATCATAGAGAAAATTAGACTTACGTAACTGACTATAAATAACATATATGTTAATGATTTATACGACTTCTCGTATAAAATCTCATAAGTTGTATAAAGGAGGAGGATTTATACGGCCGGTTTTTGGCCCTTTCTGAATTTCATTCCAAAATATCAGAAACGTTTTATTCTTGTAAGAACTATTAAAATCAGATGATTTAGCCTAAATAGACGTATTTTGACGTCTGTTTATTCTATAACTTTAATTAATCCCATTTTTACCGTCAACGTTTCTGTGTCACCTATACATATCTTTTCCTTACATTTGTGTGTGTGTGTGTTGTGTTACATTTGGGTGTGTAAAATAAAAATTAAATATTTCGTAATCTTTAGTATCAATATTCTTGTAGCACAATTTTTCTAAAATAAATTGTTTATTTATCTTTTGGTTACTGTAGATATTTATTTGATGGTAATACGTGTTATATAAAATGGTTAGAAACTATAGCTTAACGCGAAAAGATCGAAAAACTTTGCGCTCAGCGCCAGTACCTACGGCCAGAAAACGGCTTCGGTAGCATGCGGTAACATAGGTATAGGGACGACGTACAAGCGCGTGCAAAAGCACATACACGATACATACATATAAATGCCTTCAAGTTTCCTTCTACCTGAAACACAAACACACACTACACAAATGTAAGGAAATGATATGTAAGTGACATAGAAGCGCTGATTGTAAAATGGGATTAATTAGAGTTACAGGATAAACAAGCGTCAAAATACATCTGTTTAGGCTAAAATTACTTGATTTCAATAGTTCTTACAAAAATAAAACGTTTTCTGATATTTTAGAATAAAATTCAGAGGGAACCAAAAACCGGCATTGTGCACCCTCCTCATTTATTGAAAAATTAAAGGATTCGAAGACAAATCGTATTATAGAATAAAAAAATTGTAATCATAAACATAAAAATTACGAACTCGATTGCTCTTTTGTACATATTAAAGCCGTTGATTATCCCTTGATATAATATCGAATTTCTTTCGGTAGAAGATGCAATACCTTGTACCGTATTTTTGCGCAATGCTTGTTCTATACGACAGCTGAAATTGATAATATAACTGCAACATGTTTGCAAATGTCTGTAAAATCAATCGATTTATTTCTTAAAGCCCTGAACTTTGCTTTACCTGGCTATTTCAAATAAACCACACGCATGATGCGTGTATGACATATTAAGTGTCTCGGAGGCTATCACCGTGGTTATACTACACACGACAGCGAAACATGCTGCTAACAAAATTAGAAAAAAATATTTTTGCTGATCTATAAAACATTCTATTAGGACCGGAAGTTGTCGTGGACGCGATTCATTTTTACTGGATGTGATGTCCAGAAGAAAGTTCGATAGAAATAGTATCAGAATGAAGCAAAAAATGGATCCGTAGATGAACACTGTAATTGAACGATTAAAGTCCGAATCGGAGTAATCGAATCTATATACAGTACAAAAACTGATGCAAGATATTACTTACATATTGTAATCAATGTGATGAATCTTCCGATATCTGCGTATTCTTTTAATATTTCAATTTCTTGCACGTTGTTTAATTCATTCCAATCACAAAGCATTCGTTCCATAAGGTTTCGCATCTGTTTTTATAGGATAATGATTATTTAATTTTCAAAAATATTTCATATGATATTGATAACAGTCATATACTTTTCCTGAGAGTTTTTCTATGAGTAGTTGTGTTTGATATTGAACGTTCTTACCCGTTTTGCGTTTAAGCAGAGAACATTATATTTTAACATATAGCCCAACCATGGGATGCTGTAAGTGAGAACACGCAGAAAAACGTCTGTATTACATTCTCTTGTGATGAAAGTCGTTAGCTAAAAGTAATATTTACCACGCAAATTATTTCTATTCTTACATTAACGTTATCGATAATTCTTTCGGTTAAAATCGGTTAGAATTGTTTTAAAGAATTTATTCAAAATACATACAAATAAGAAATTTTGTTTAAATATTACCACATTTGTTATAATTTGTTGTTATAATTTAACGTTTGTAATAAAAACAGAATATTATCTTTTTAATGAGAGTGATTATGTATTAATGCCTCTAAGAAGTATAAAAAAAATTAATGAGAGATTAAAAAGAATAATTATCGTACCTGAAATATTACGGACGATGCAAGTATTATCGTCATTAATGTTATTGCGATGTATTTGAAAGTGGACTTTTGACACGGCCATAAGCCGACACATAGTAATAAAATTCGATTAATTGTATAATAAGTGTTCACGGGGCATTCTTGCCATCTCAGTGCTAGTGTCATAACGCGTTTGTGCTGAATTTCTTTTCACGAGTTACCTTGTAGGTTCGGTATGATTGTAGTTTATATAATTTGCTACTTTTATATATTCAAATAAACTATTGAACTATCGCAAAATTACGATAGAATACTTATAGCTTAAAATAATGATACAAATTGTACAGCTTTAGATACATTATTTGGCTAGTGTTCGTATCTATAACCCTCGAATAAACATTATTACTTGCGTGAACCGATTATCTGTATTCTCAGCCATGTGCATTTCTCTCAAGCGTTCGATCGACGCAAGCGCAATGGTAACTTCGCGCATTCATGTCTCTCTCGCGTCTCTTCATTTCTATTCGAGACGCGCGACGTTGCAGTACTTTTCTTGCCATGTGACATGTGTGTGCCAGCACATTAACATTATTCCACAAATTAGAAATCCATTGACTAGGAAGATCACTGTGCGGTTATAATCGTTGGAATTTCAATATGTGCGTCATACTTGGCAAGCATTGTGAAGATTATGTTACTAATGCTGTAAAGACTTATTTTGAATTATATCTGAACTCTAAGGGCCAGTTTCACTAACGTGGATTAACTGTAACCTTCGATTAAACTCACTCTTCATCTGTTTCTAAACGAGGCAGTTAGAAAGAGACGTAGAGTGAGTTTAATCGAAGGTTACAGTTAATCGACATTGGTGAAACTGGCCCTAAATCTCAATAAGCTAGCTGTCATAAATATTGATTTAATGTATTATTTAGTTGCACTGTGATATAATTAGGCTTAAAACTACCTATGCCATGAAAAATCTGCATTTATATAATATATTATTTCTATTAATTAAATAAATATTAAAAATGTTTGATAAATGTTTTATGATTTGTGTCGAGATTTTACCATGAAGAATCTTTCTAATAATGGAATGAACAAGCCACCAATCATAATTTTGAAATGTTAATAATTTTATTACATGCAACGGTGATGGCATTCTGCCAGTGGAGCCTTGTATGAATGTACTTTATATCTAATAATTTACGGTTATTAAACGGTCGAAATTGAAAATTTTAATGTAAGTTTTGATGCACATTTACTTTTCTTTAAAACACTTTGACACGTTGAATGCTGTGTCGGTCATTAATAACCGTCTCGGCATTGCGCCGTTGAAAGCTCAATTGTCAGTTAACAGTGACCGACGCTCATTGATGCTCCCAAACTTAAAAATGCGTCAAACTCATAAAAAATAATACTTGTAATTCTGTAAATGTAATTAATATTGAAATAATAATCTAAAGTAACAAATGTATTAAACTTGGTAATTTAGCATAATTCAATTACATTATATAATATTGTATCAAAATATGAATTTAATCATGAAAATTTCACTCCGGCGTTATCAGAGACATAAGCGAATTAGGACCGGCATTCAACGTGTTAATTATTCGCTTCATGAAGGATCGCTGCTATATAATCGATCATCTCCCATCTCAAATAATTCCAGAAGAACAGGTATCAAAATAACTGAGAACAAACAGAAGAGATGTTATTATTTTGTGATACCTATTTAGTTATCATTAGATCGAGTAAACTGCGATCTCACATAATGGATTATCAGTTTATTTTGGGAGAAATACAGATTTTGCACCGATGCAACATGCAACGATAGTGTACGCAGGTATCACGTCTACGACGTCTGATTAAGATATGTTATGATGAGAGTAATAATATACAAAATTTTCTTCATTTTCTCGACAAAAGCTTTCGTGTTCATGTTCTGTCGCTATAGAATCACCTTCTTTGTAATAATAGAGAAACTTATCTTTGTGATGCGTCATTGTAAATATAACGAAAAATGCGGCGATAATTGTATTATACTTTATTGAAGAGCAATCAAGAAATTAAAATAATACTACATTATATTTCCATGTTGATTTTACAATAATACAGACACTTTAAAACAGGCTAATTGCATCTGCATTATTATATTTTTATGTAAAACATATGGTATACATGTACTAAAACTATTTGCGTCGTGGAATTTTAAACTTTGATGCTTCTATTTTATGCGGATAATTAAAACAGAGAAAAAATCACTGCAAAGTATGAAATTGACGTGCTTGCAAGCTAAAATATAAATTAAGTTGTAGCAAATTTAAAGCAAAAATGTTTGATAAATGACCATTATGAGAAATTTTACCGTGGCAAATCCCTCAAATGACGGAATGAATAACCCATCAATGACGAGAGTGCAATGTCGCATGCTCCTTTGCATCATAAGCATCAATAACTTCTGCGCTCTCAACGGAGCTAGGTACCATTGCACGTTGTATCTAAAATATTGTTATTGAGAATTATAACTGCAAGTTTCGATAACTTTGGGGATTTATTTTTCTTCAGCCCTTTATTTGTCGCGTGATATAGAGCATTCGTACTCCTTGCATATAATATCTTCATGTAAATGTAAGTAAATAAAACAAATAGATCTATAGATAACAAAGCAAATCCCTTCCCTATTATCTTATCCATTTTAGAATTGTATTGATGTGATCAATTAAAGATAAATGAATAATACTCACATTCTGTGAAAAACATCACTGCTATGATCGATTACTTTCTGTCCCAAGTAGTTGCAGAAAAACATGTACCAAAAGTGGCCAAGGATGAAAAGAAAACTAACGATCATCTCATAATATTCTTTGGATATTATCAATCGAGAAAGCTGTAGCACATAAATAAAACTAATTTGCTTTTAAAGGGGAGAAATAGTATAACAATTGTATGTACGGATACAATATAGATATAATACAGATACTATGCCAATAACTACTATTTCCGATCAAAATATGTTAATTATTATATATGATATGTTATATATATATATAATATAATATATAATATATATATAATATATATATTAATAATTACTCACGCGATAAAGATTAATACTCAGCGATAGTACTCCTAGAGGCAATAAGACTGAATATGCCCATGTATAACTTCTCTTTAATATTTCGATAAACCTTAAATAATAATAAATCTCAAGTATACGCGTAGAGAAAATATATTTACATTAAATATTGTAAATAACTATAATATGGTCAGTTATACATGCTAAATGATTTATAAAATTTTTTTCGTATAAATCTAGTATTAAGGCCGATTTTAGAGGTAAAGAGGTCTGGTTACATGAAAACATTGCAGATGGCAATGATTTGTACAAGTTTGAGTGTGTTTACTGTATCCGTTCTCGTTATAATAGGTCATCTATGTAGAAATCTCTTTTTATTGTCTCATCTGTTAGGCTACTTCTTGTAAATATTGAACTGCCAAAAAATGAGAACTTGACATACCATACGTGAATGATGTTTGTATGGGCTCCTTTTCTCCCATCTCTACAAAGTGTGTTATACAATTTGCGATTTTCCTTTTTTTATCGTAAGTAAAATAAGTAACCAGACCTTCTTACCTCTAAAATCGACCTTAACATCTCGTAAGCTATATAAATTTTTGGATTCGAAGACCAATCGCACTATAGAATAAAGAAAACTTCTAATCATACACATGACAATTACGAACTCGATTGCTTTTTTGTACATATTAAAGCCGTTGATTATCCTTTGACATATCATCGAATTTCTTTCGGTAGAAGATGCAATACCTTCTACCGTATTTTTGAGCAATGCTTGTTCTATGCGACAGCTGAAATTGATAACGTAACTGCAACATGTTTGCAAACGTCGTTAAAATCAATCGGTTTATTTCTTAAAGCTCCGAGCTTTGTTTTACCTGGCTATTTCAAATAAACCGCACGCATGATGTGTGTATGACATATTAAGTGTTTCGGTAGCTGCCACTGTGGTTAGACCGCACAGGACAACAAGACATACTAGCAACAAAATTGGAAAAAAATACTTTTGCTGATCTATAAAACATTCTACTAGGATCGGAAGTTGTCGTGAACGTGATTCATTTCTACTGGATATGATGTCCAGAAGAAAGTTCGATAGAAATTGTGTCAGAATGCAGGAAAAAATAGATACATAGATGAATACTGTAATTGAACGATTAAAGTCTGAATCGACGTAATTGAATCTAGAGTACAAAAGAATGATTCAAGATATTGCTTACATATTGTAATCAATGTGATAAATCTTCCGATATCTGCGTATTCTTTTATTATTTCAATTTCTTGCGCGTCATTTAACTCATTCCAATCACAAAGAATTCGTTCCATAAGGGCTTGCATCTGTGGTCATAATATAATGGTTATTTGCTGTCTTTTCTCGAAATTGTCTCAAATAAGATTGATAATTATCATTTACTTTCCCTATAAGTTTCTCTACAAGTATCTGCATTTGATATTGAATGCTCTTACCCGTTTTATGTTTAAACAGAGAACATTATATTTTAATGTATAGGCTAGCCATGGGACACTATACGCGAGAACATGTAGAAGAATGTCTATATTATATTCTGTTGTGATGAAAGTCGTTAACTAAAAGTGATATTTTCCACTCAAATCATTTCTACTCTTACGCTAATGCGTTATTGATAATTCTTTCGGTTAGAATAGCTTCGAAGAAGGTATTCAAAATTGAATACAAATAAGAAATTTTTATTTAAATATTATAATTACATGTTATAATTTCTTATTATAATTTAAGGTTTGTAATAAAAATGAAATATTTTCCTTTTTATGAGGGTAAATATTCATTAATATTTTTTAATGCATATATTTCCTTTTATTAATTTTTACATTAAAAAGTATACAAATTAAATTAATGAGAGATTTAAGAAATAATTATCGTACCTGAAATATTACGCTCGATACAAGTATTATCGTCGTTAATGTTATTGCGATATATCTGGAGATAGACTTTTGATACGGCCATAAGCCGACACATAGTAATAAAATTCGATTATTTTTATAGTAAGCGTTCACAGGACAATCTTGCCATTTCAGTGCTAGTGTCATAACGCGTTTGTGTCGAATTTTTTTCCACGAGTTATCTCGTACGTTCGGTATGTTTGATTGCAGTTTATAATTTGTTACTTTTATGTACTCAAATAAACTATTGAACTCGCGCAAAATTACGATAGAATACTTATAGCTTAAAATAATCATACAAATTATAGCTTTGGATACACATATTTGGCTAGTGTTCTAGTGTTGGCTAGTATATAGTATCTATAACCCTCATCGGGTAAACATTATTACTTGCGTGAACCGATTATCTGTTTTCTCAGTATATGCATATTTCTCTCTCCGTTCGATCGACGCAAGCGCAATTGTAAAGTCGCGCTTTCATGTTTTTCGCGTCCTTTCATTTCTATTCGAGACGCGAGACGTTGCAGTACTCTTCTTGCGTTATGTGTGTGTCGGCACGTCATCATCATTCCAAACTCGAAATCTATTAACTAGTAGAAATATCACTGTGCGGTTGTAATCGTCGGAACGGCGATCTTTACGTCATGCTTTGCGAGCATTGTGAGAAGATTATGTTATTAATGCTATAAAGACTTATTTTGATTTACATCTGCACTGTAAATCTTAGTAAGCTGTCACAATTGCTGATTTAATGTATTAGTTGCACTGTAATATAATTGATAAGCTAATTCACTTGCGCGCC